TTTTTTTTTTTTTTTTCTACACAGATTGATTTTATTTATTTTTTTTGTATTTTAGGGAAGGGTCTGCAGGGTGTCTCACTACTAGATCGGACTCGTAGTGATCTGCCTGTTTGCAGCCTCCCAAGAGCTGGAATTACAGGCATGCACCACCATGCCCAGTCTTAATTGCTATCCCAGTATGCCCTGGGGGCGGGGCCAGCACCTCAGGCCCAGGGATCGAAGCCCCTGAGCTATTTGGCCGGCCCTGCACAGATGTATTTTAAAGCTAACATTCTTGTATGAAAATTATCGAGTAGAATTAATTCCATAATTAGCATCAATAGTAAGGATCTCAGTCTGGGGAGATAGCTCAGTGGTCTAAATACCTGCCTGGCAAGCACAAGGTCCCTAGTTCCATCCCCAGTACCCCATGCTGTGCAGGCCCCAGAACCCCAGGCGCTCTGTGCCACCCTGAAACTGGGTGTGGTGGCCCATGCCTATAATCCCAGCGCTGGGTAGATTGAGATAGAAGGATTACTATGAGTCCAAACTGCATAATGAGACCCTATATCCAAGGAATAAAATTAAAATTAAAAAAAAAATAACAATCTCACATACCTACAATCCCAGCACTCTAGGAGACTGAAGGAGGATTAAAAGCCCAGACTGGGCAGTTTAGTGACTTAGTAGGACTTAGTCTCAAACATAAAACATTTTAAGGAGAGATAGGGACGTAGCTTGGCAATAAAGCTTTGGGTTCAGTCCTTGGTACCATAACAACACAAAAGGAAACAAACAATACCTGCCATTCAGATATTTTCAGTATTTGTTTATATTTTTTTATTTATAGAACTTGTTTATTTTTGAAAATCTGATAGACCTGAATCGCTGCTATACATTTCCCATAGAAGTTGAGGTAAGTGTAAATTTCAGTTTTATTTGTAAACTAAAACACCAAGTACTCCTGGAGAGAAACAGATACTGTATGGAACATGTTAAGTGTTCAAATCTACTTTCAGCTGTAAAACCTGGCAGAGTTGTGCTCATCTATACAGCCGGCAACTATAAACCCTAGCAGTTTCAGTGATAATCTGTCTCTCTTTTTTTTTTTTTAAGAAAAAGTGAATTTATTGTAAAACTCTCAAATAATTATATATATATACATATATGTATACATGATTTGGGAATTTAAAGCATTTACTCTTCAATTTCACGAATGTTAAAACTTCTTTAGCTACAAAGTAGCCCATGTTCCTTGATTCTAACAAATTTTTGAGTTCTTATGAAAGATGCATTGTAATTAAAATTAAATGCTTGAACAAGAAAAAAGCTTTAAACAAATTTATTGCATCCAAATTGTTAAGCATTTGCAATACACTAGTTACCTCTCCATAAATACCAATACTAAAGGCAAAGCATATGAATGCATATGAAATTTACACACAATTTATACACAGTTACACAATTGTGTACAAGTTTACACACAATTACAATATGCTGTCTACTAAAATACATCTCACTCAGGGAGTGATAATCTCTAGCAGCTATAAGGAAACTCATTAGAGTTGGAATTTTCCTTCTCTTGACTTGTGAAGGAAAGAATGTCAGTAGGAGAAGCTGCTAGGCGCAGCCCAGAAGGCTTTTCAGAAGGGACACACAAGTGTGTAATGTATCTTTATAGTTGTATTTACTTTTACTTTATATGGTACACACACATAATAGATACTTTTGATTTCTTTAAAATTTGATGAAAGTGTTTTTAAAAATTAGTAATTTGGTTTTGCCAGGTTGTTATTAAAATAAGGTGTGAGCATGATTCAAATATATTTTAAGTGTTGTATTTGCTTTGTCTAATAGGTTCCTATGGAAAGAAGAAAAAAGTACATTGAAATTAGGAAAGAAGCCAGAGAGGCTGCAAATGAAGATTCAGGTAGGATATTTTCAGAATGGCTAGAAAATTTTTATTTTTTTTTAAGTTTGTTTAGGGATCGGGGAGATAGCTCAGTGGTCTAAGCACCTGCCCAGCAAGTGCAAAGATCCTGGTTCAATCCCTACTACTGCATGTCATGCCAGCCCTGCAGTGAGCTAGTCCCTAAAACTGGGTGTGGTGGTGCAAGCCTGTAATCCCAGCGCTGAGGAGGCTGAGACAGGAGGATTACTGTGAATCCAAACTGCATAGTGAGACTCTGTACCAAATAAGTTTATTTTTATTTTATTTTTGTAGTACTGGGGATGGAACTAGAGACCTTGTGCTTGCCAGGCAGGCGCTTCGACTGCCAAGCTATCTCCTCAGTCCCTAGAAAGTTTTTGATAGTTTGTATTTGTTTATGTAAATAGAAAATATTTCAAAATATTCCAAGTATTTTAGAGTATTCCAAAACATTGGAATTCAGTTTTTGAAACTTTTAATAGTTACAACTGGAATTATGTTTTGAAAGAAATGTAATTAACTAAATTTAACTACATAAAAAGGTCTCCAAGTGGCCAGGTGGGGGGCCGGGGAGATGGCTCAGTAAGGGTCTGAGTTCAGTCCCCGGTTCTGCCAAAAAAGCCATGTCCAAGTGGCCAGATGGATAAGACTGCCTTGCTGTTCACTTTTATGTGGATTATGTTCATTACTTAGATTACTTGTCATGCTTAGATTAAATGTAGATCTGTGTTGGCCGCCGAGTGCTGTCCTGCCACTTCTCTTGCTAGGCTTCCCAGGCTTTTCCGTCTTCCTCAGAGCAGAGCCGCTCCTGGCCTTTGCCCTGCTTGCCCGCTCTCCCGTTGCCCTCTGTCCTGCCCACGCTGCCCCAGCAGCACAGCCCCTGCCAAGGCCTTGTGAGCGCTGGACTGCCTTTGGGCGCTTGGCATCTGCACCAGTTTCCTGGTAATACCCCAGGTCTGAGCATCTGCGTGCCTCGTGGCATTTTGTTTCAAATCAGCCTGGCCTCCCTATAGAAAATGATGTTGTCCTAACTTCTCTTTTCTTATGTAAGTTTTCTTGATAGCTTTAATCACCATGTCTTGATTTCAGGAAAAAACATGAACCTATTTTCTGTACTCATACATATTTTGCCTAAGCACTTTTCAGCAATCATTTTTTCCTACATTTTTGTTACAGGCAAAGTGTGTGTCAGTGAAAGTTTTATTTGGGGCCGGGGAGATCGCTCAGTGTAATAAGCACTTCCTTGGTAAGTGCAAGGGTCTGAGTTCAATCCCCGGTTTCACACACACACACACACACACACAAAAAAAAAAAAAAAGAAAAAGAAAGTTTATTTATTTATTTATTTGCGGAACCGGGGATTGAACTCAGGCCCGTGCGCTTGCCAGGGAAGCGCTTATTCTGAGCTATCTCCCTGCTCCTCATTGAAAGTTTTAAATGCAAAGAAATCCTGTTAAAATTGGATCTAGTGTAACATCTTCGTAACAGTAACTACTACATTATGGCAAAAGCGAAAGGAAGGCTTTTCCTCATTCGTTAATTTGCCAAAAGGCAAAGAATCCTGGGATTGTCGGAAGTCTTAGGTAAAAGTATCCTTTAATTTTAATGATTCGAGCTTAAGGACTTTCATCTCGTTCTGATTAAATGCGCGCATCTTCTTTCTGTATTTCAGATGGTCCTTATTACATGTCTTCCCTGTCATACTTGGCAGACAGCAGCCTGAGTGAGGAAATGAGTCAGTTTGATTTCTCAACTGGAGTTCAGAGCTATTCATACAACTCTCAGGACCCTAAATCTGCTGCTCGTTTTCGGAGACGGGTGATCACCTTTCCCATATTAAAGGACGATTGTTGGCGTTTGTAAAGAAGGGGGTCTGGGTCACAGCTGTATCCTGCCCTAGCTGTGGCATGTCATTTCTCTCTCAGTCATCTCTGGAAAGTTCATCCTGAGAATTCTCCAAGATCTAAGCCTTGAACTTTCATCCTCCTGACAGCAGTCGGTTCCTCAGCACAGGAAGGAAGTCAGGAGGCCGGGGTCAAGGCAGAGATGCTCAACCAGTGTGACCTCGGGAGTGACTGCTAACGCAGGGCTGCAGCAGTGGGGAGCGTGACCTGAGGCACTGCCCCGGGCGGTGACCTGACAGAGGGCTCCAGGAGGGAATCGTGCAATGTAGGGGAAGCTTGGAGGTCCTGTTTACTTCTTAGCTGTTTACTAAGCGTGTGCATCCAAGTTGCCCAAAACATGCAGAGTATCAGCCCCTCTGTTTGCTGCCATCTAGAGACCTACTGTGCAGCATTGCATTCTCCATCTTCACAGGATCGTCATGACCCTCAGGTCCCAGATGATGTCGTGGAGTTAGAGCTGGATGAGCTCAATCAGCACGAGTGCATGGCCGCCATGACAGCGCTGGTTAGGCACATGCAGAGCAATCTGGTCTCGCCCAAAGGGGAAGAGGTGTGTTTTCTGCTATGGTTATGTTGTCTGTTTATTGATGTCGAATTGTGAATTAAATTTTCATGTTGAAGTCGTGACTCTGCATATCAAACACTTTTGCTGTCCATGTCTTTGTTTGTCAATTTCTTAAAATGTGAGCTTCTTCTGTTCTACTGTTTAAGATAGTTTTGTGTTTTATTTCAGAGTTCAGTGTCAAAAGATCTTCCTCCTTGGATGAAGTTTCTTCATGACAAATTAGGAAATCCATCAGTGCCATTAAATATTCGTCTCTTCTTAGCCAAGCTTATTATTAATACAGAAGAGGTAAATTATTATTTGTTTCATAACTCATTGCAGTTCTCTGCATATACTTTAAAAATAATACCAAGTGAAATAAGTTCTAAAGGGCAAGAGCATGACATCTTGTCCTGTCAGTAAGTTAGTGAGCTGTATTACCTACTTGTTCATTCTTTTCTTAAGCATGTAAATTAACCTCTCTGGAGTTAGAAGTGAACTTTACATAAAGTGTACATGGCAGCCTTCTTAATGCTTCTCTGATGTCATAGCATAAAAATGGGTGAATATATTTCTGTTAACTCTCTATAAAAAAATAGTTGCTTTTTCTCCTAGGTACCATGTCTTCCTGAGAATAAGACCTAGCTGGAAAACAATTAACCTTGGAAACTAAAGAGCAAACCTGCCTTAACAGAGTTGCCACCAAGCAAGAGTAGGGGTGGCAGATAAGGCAAGGACAGGCTGATTGAGCCTGGCTTTTTTTTAATTTTTATTTTTTCTTTTCTTGGTGGAACCGGGCATTGAACTCAGGCCCTTGCACTTACCAAGGAAGCGCTTATTCCACTGAGCCATCTCTCCAGCCCCAAGGCTGGCATTTTTGATCTCTATAGTTTTCTTGCTTGATTATTTTCTGCCTGAGTCTTATTTTCAGGGAAAGAGGCTAGGTGCTGAGTGCATTAGTTTACACAGAGCATGCGCCAGGGGGAGTGAAGTGGACCTTGGACAGAGCCCTAGAGCTGAGCGTGGTTAAGTGTGGTGGGAGTTTGTGTTCTGTACAGTAGCTGTACGAACACAAAGGAGCCCTGAGAGGGAGTGCGTCTGTACCGGTCCTGTGCACTACGGGGACGTGGTCTGGAGGATGAGCTGGGCCAGGCTGCCAGGGCTCCAGTGAGGCTGGCTCACTTGCTGAGTGGCAGTGAGCCCCTGAAACCCTGTAGGTGCGGAGGTGATGCTACAGGCTTCGTCCAGTAGCGTCTTCCTAGGAGGTTCGGTAGATGTAAGCGGAGAGGCTGCTGGGGACTGCAGCAGGGATGGCTTTCCTTTGGTACTGCTGAAGTTTTTGTTCCCAGTTGCCGTCATACGATAACAGTGGGGCTTAAACAATGGCTCTGAAGGCCAGATGTCGCTAAAGAGTGCTACTAGGGGGCATCTGATCCCAGCTTCACCCCTCTTTTGGTTACCTCGGGCATTTTGGCATATGGGTGGCATTGTGGTTTTACATTGTCTTCCTCTTTGCATGCTGGGATTACAGGCGTGCTCCATCATGCCTGGGGTTTCGGGACCAGTATGGCACGCCCAGGGTTCTCTGGCCAGCATGGCCTGTGGTTCCAGGGATTGAACCTGGGTCCTTGCGCTTGCTGGACGGGTGCCTAGACCACTGAACTCTCTCCCCAGTCCCCTTACTTTATTTCCCTCCATAAATCCTGTCTCTGATTGGTTATGGTGGCACAAACCTCTGAGTCCAGCTCCTGTGGCAGCTGAGGCAGAAGGGTTCGAAGTTTGAGGCCAGCCTAGGCCATTTAGTGAGACCCTGCATCAAAATTAGAAAAATAATAATGCAAAAAAGGAATGCGGACGTAACTCAGTGCTGGAGTGAGCATTTGCCTAGATGCACAGAGCTCTGTGTTCAGGCCTCAGTGCTGCAGAAACTGCCTCCAAATAAAGTCGCATTCTGAGACCTTACTGGGGATATGGCCTTTGGGGAGTCACAAATCATTCTATGAGACCGGGGGTGTAGTGTGATTTCTCTTGCATCCTAGTACTAGATCTAGATAGCTGTTAAAAAGGAGCCAGATATTTTGGGGTCCTCTCGGTGGGGCTGAGCACGGCAGCAGGCTGACGAGGATGCTGGCTGCACTTGGCGTCCGCGTGGGTGTGAGGCTGCTCCCCGGCTCTGCACTGGGCCCGAGCCTGGAGCCGTGCGCACCTGAAGCCTGTTGCTGTCAGGGTAGTGCTTCCCAGAGGCAGTGCCCCAAGCAGTCTGCTTAGGGGAAAAAGAATGGGACTTACATTTGCATTTATTTGTAATATTTAACTTTCAAGTATTTGTTACAGTTTAATAACATAGTAAATAAGTTCATACATGCTGCTTGTAAATAAGACCATGTAGACCTATGTGCACAAGTGTGGTGATTTCTTTCTTTCTTTCTTTCTTTTCTTTT